CAGTGTTATAATCCCGACGAAATCCTTGACGGTGGTACCGGGAGGGGAACGGTACATGACGGTAGGAAGTTTAGTTTGGGTTAATGTCTCAAACTGACGGGGTTAGGCTTTCGAAGCTTCCTCCTCGTAAAATAAACATGCTCAGTAAAAAGTTAACAATTTAAATCGACGAATAGTTTTATATCAACTTTTGTGAACTTCTGTTTATTTGTTTTTTGTACAACAAATGGTTACAATAATTTTAAGCTTTAATAAACAATTTTTTAGTAAGTAATTATTGGTTTTGATTTTTTTTGTATGGGCTCCACCTCCCCCTAAATTTCGTTCTGGCTACGCCCATGTACGCTTCATATGTATGTGTTTGGTTATGTAATAAGTACTTGTGTGCACACAATATTTGTTGTTTTTCCATTCGCTGCATAGATATAAAGGATATCTGGTTTGTCGACACAGGAACACGCAACATCTGAGAAACAATCCGCATCTAAATCTAAACCATGCTCTTCCGAAGTTTCGACCTGGAGCATTATTGATTGTGATTCCGAATGTCCATCGCATTGGGAATCACAGTCTTTTAAATTTAAATGGTGTATCGGTCGGAATCATGGGAACTCTTCACCTATGAAAGGCCACGTTAAAATCTTTACTTACACTACTTTCTTCATCAAGTTCTTAAGTGCGGTGTTTATCGACGTATATGCTATTTCCTCGCGTTGAATGCTGGATTGAATAACATTAGTGGTATTCACTAAAGGGAGCAAGTGGCCTGGCAGTCTGGCAAAAGAGCAGATCAGCTCAAGCAACGACTGTTGTCAATACCACTAATATTTAATTGATAGACATCCTTATTCTTCGCAGCAAGAATAGCCAATCGCGATTTCTATAATTAATTTTCTTAATAAAGAAACTTCTTTCGATCAGTTCTCCTTTAGATGCTTTTAAGTTACAACAATTATCAGGCCATAAAATTCGCCTTAATCTCTCATTGACTGGCAGCTTTCCGTTCCCAATGTCCAGTAATGGTCGCGAGAATACCTCGGCTGCAGTGTATGTATTAGGGCGGGTCGAAAATCGAATTTTGTTCAAATACCTTGGTAATAGTGAAAATATATTGTATCATGAAGTCAAAAACAGGCTTGTAAAATATTAGTGTTTTATTTTAATTGTAAGAGTCCGCGCATAGACCGCCACAGTATACCAGTAGAAAAGGTTTTTGTTGTTGTGGCTGTTAATTTGGTCCCCATAAAGGACTTGAGGGTTGCGAGCAACTGTTTTGCCGCATTCAGGGTGCTGTGCAGCAAAATACCGTGGCGCACAAAATTTTAACATCGGATAAATGGCGAGAGAAATATTGTTATGCGCTTTAAAAGTAAACATGAACGTAATAAAATGTTTTATACTTCAATACAACTAATTAGCGCTATTTTTGCAATTCGAAATCGATGGCTGAGTGGAAGATCGACCTATCTCGGCTGCCAGTTCGAAAACGCTCTATCTCAAAAAACTTTTCAAGAACGCCCTATTTCAGAATTTTATTGAAAAACACCCTATCTCAAAATTCGGTTCAAAAATGCCCTATCTCACTTCAAAATGTATTGAAAATATGCTGTTATAGGGCGTTTTTGAATCGGCAGCTGAGATAGGGCGTTTTTCAAACGAATTCTGAAATAGAGCGTTCTTGAAAAGTTTTTTGAAATAGAATGTTTTCGAACTGGCTGCCGAGATAGGTCGATCTTCCACTCAGCCATCGAAATGATCTTAAAAATATTTGTAGTGAAATATGTACTTTATGAGTTAAATGGAAACTATCTTATATGTAAAAATGTATTCCGATTTACTTCAAATAAATGATGTAAAATGTTTTATATATGGATCTAATTTTAATAATAATAAATAATTTGGCCCATACAAAGATAATTTAATAATAATACTTATTACCTTCATCTACATTGCTTTTATTGTAAGTTTTCACGAGTAGTTGCAGTTTTCTGTCTCTGGCGACTATACATGCTAAAGCTAAATAATTTCACAATTTCTACCCTATTAAACGTTTATATTTTAATAAAATGTGATCAATTACTTAAGAATATATAATTTCCGATCAAACTATAGTACTGAATGCTTGACAAACAATTATTTAAATCAAATGATCAATAGTGAACGCACTCGGAGCGAATTTTGGAACACGGAGCAAATTATGCATATTAACCAAGGAATGAAACCGATTCAAAATAACGTTCCGGTTTAGGTTTCGGTTTTGCCAAGTGTTTCGGTTTCGGTTTTGGTTTCGTTCTTCAAAATTTATTTCGGTTTTGGTTTCGGTTTCGTTCCGGTTTCGGTTTTCACAGAAATTTTGTTGATATTATATAAATCACAATGTCTTAAACGTTGAGGAAAGAAAATCGAAAATTACAGTTCACTGATAATATCAACACTAGGTTCTTTCCCTAACAATCCGGACCGGATTTGGTAATTAGAGAATAAGAGAAACATTTTCTTTCAAAAATGGACCTAAAACTTGTGTTTTCGTCCATATAAAATCTGTTAAACGAAAACCAGTTTTCGCTGAAAACTACTTGAAAACTCACTTTCCACTCATTCCAATCGGTGTCTTCGCTAGTTTTTTTCGATTATTTATCGAAGTGGAAGTCATATTTTATCATCTTTAATACGCCATTTCGGATTTATTGTTAATTGCCTGGCCAAAGCAAAATAAGAATGAAAGTTAAAGGTTGTAAATGAAAAGAAAATGAAGGAAAAATGTTTTGGTTGTCGGTCAGAACATGGTATTAAATGCAAACACTTGGAAATTGAATTTTGATTTCACAAATTTGATTTTAAGTACATAGATTGAAAATACATCAACAGGCCATTCACTTTTCCTTAAAAGCACGAAGTAAATGCAGGCAATATGTAAACACAATACAGCTGATATGCACTTTGACACTTTATCCATTTTTACTCGGAGAAAATTTCGGGCTGTTTCGGGCAGGAAGAAGAATACACTTACGATCGAATACGCTCGAATTTTCGCTCTCTATTACCCATTTTGTTGAGTACAGGCATGATTTCTGAGCTATATTGGGCACACGCGGGATCTCGCATTGCGTACGGGAAAGAAACTACTTAAATATAATTAATCGATTATCGATTCACAACAACAAAGTCATCAGCAGATTTTTGCGAAAAGTTACCTTGCCATACTTATTTACTACTTAACAAGAATTTTAGCAAAATGTTGCTGATTTTGGTTAAATAAATCATTTATTTCAAAGAAAATTTTATTTATATTTTTGTAAATTTCTGGAAACCGATTGAAACCTGTGATTGAAATGGTTTCGGTATCGTTCCTTTTCAGGTCAAGATAACGGTTACGGTTTCGGTTTCGGTTTTGAAAAACGAAACGGTTTTAAACGGTTACGGTTTCGGTTTGGGTTTCGGTTTCATTCCTTGATATTAACACTAAATAATTTTTAACTTTCTCCCTATTATACGTTTATTTTTCAATTTAATATTTTTAATTACTGTATAATACTACTGAATGCTTTATGTTTTAATATAATATAATTAATTACTGAAGAATATATTAACTCCGATCAAACTGTAGTATTAATTGTTTGACAAACTATTTAAATAAAATGATCAACAGTGAACACGCTCGGAGCGAATTTCGGAACAATTCATAAAATATTTACAGAGGAAGTATATTATTTGGTAGAGATCAAAATGTATTTAACAAAGCGTGATTGAATTTGACCATGCTCTCAGAAGAACCATCCTATAAAGACAAATTGAAAACAATTTGTATGAATTTTGAATCGTTTGTTTATATTTTTCTACATAATAGTATCTTAAAAGAGAGCCGCACTGAGTTGTTAATAACACCTCTTGGGCCGTATGCATAAAAACTAAGCAATTACTTTTTCTCAGATTTTCATACCTTTCACTTAAATTTATTTGAAAAAATTTAGTGAATGGTCTGAAATTTTAAGAAAAAGCATTTGCTTAGGTTTTATGCATACGGCCCCTTGTTTAATACACCCATGATACAAATATTTAAAGGTAAAACCGTTTGTTCAATTCGTCGGCCATCATTTATTTTTTGAAGTTTGTCTATTTTATAAAATTGAAATTTCGAGAGCAACTCAAATGCCAAATAAAAGTAAAACAAAAAACAAATAGATGAAAATATTGAAATTTTCATTTATTTGAGACTGAAAATGAGAATGTATTTGTGAGATTTGTGTATTCAAAGCAAGCGCTGCGTTCGTAGCTACTCAACTTAATAGCATTTTCGTAGATTTCACGAAAAATCGGACTACGATGGATTTTATTAGCCTTGATTAGTTCGTACGATTATGACTTATGGATCGATTATGGATGGGAACGGAACCTCAGTTGGGTTGCCGATGGACAGCGCCACTGAAATGAAAATGTTTTTTATTATGAATAGCAATAATTAATAGCTGAAATACAATGCCGGCGAACGGCGAACTCACCACAGCGAAATTCGCGCTGTCAAAATTAGAACACCCGCAAGCATATGAAATTGAACACAGCCAAAGCGAAATGCGAAGTTCGCTTGGCGGCGTTTCATGACGATAGATTTATTTCTATCGCTCTGCTGGGCGATGACAGCTGTGCGTGCCAAAGGTGGCCGTATTTGTTTTGTGCTTTCAAAGTTTAAAAAGAAAACAACCTAAACACGATTTTTTTTTTTGGTGTTTGAAAAATATAGTTGTGGATTCGTTAAATCTGGCTTGAAACAAATTATTTATAATAATCTTTCTTTGTTTTACATTTATATTTGTTTTGTTTTAGTTTTTTCTAAATATGGTCACCCAAATTATAAAGGCGACCAAATGGGATCAGCTGTTTTCGCTACCGCTCTAATTCTGTTTAAGTAGGCGAAATAGTTGGGCGAACGGTGAACGACAGCATCGCCCAATTCGGCGAAGTTTGCCGTTCGCCGGTATTGTATTTCAAGCATAAGTTTCATAAAGTTCAAGGTGGTACAATTAAAAAAAAGTTGAAAAAAGAAATGAAGTATCTCAACCAAAATTTCCCGGCAGCCACAAGAATGCAGTTGCCAATATAGCAACTTAGTTGGCAGCTTTCATTTGCTAGTTGCCATCGTAATACCATTTCAGCCACTGGCTGGAATCGAATATGCATGCACGTTCTGCAGAACGATAAATATTTTGTAAATGTGTGCTCTGTCCGCTAACGAATTCCAGCCATGTGTGAAATATCGTATGCGAAGCCTCCGTCTGACTTAACGATTGTCAAAGGCTTGCCAGAAGATGTTTCATCATATGTTTTCGGCCATCGTCTTCTTCGAGTAAGTTCATCGATACCAAAAACTTTACAACCTCTATGTGCCAGCAGCCCTTACTGTTTTTGCCAATGACATGGTACTATTGCACTGTTAATAACCAAATTTAGCCGCAGTTGCATTCACACGTGATATAATAGCTAGTGTCGGCAAGCTGTGGGAATGCCCAGGAGATGGCGTTTGTTCAGCTATCGAAATCATTACACCGACGGCGGTGGGCAGTTCTGCTGGAACATATTTACCACAGCAGTGGTTGCGGCATTTTGTTCTGCAACAATAGCCTGCAATGATGACATGTCATATAATGTCGACGAACAAAGATATAAAATTTAAAATGACTAACCTTATTCCCGGCCGATTTGGGACACCACCCTTGGTCACGACCAGAACGCATTTACCAAGAGGAAAACCGCAGGGATTGCAATAGTTCTTGCAATCACCGTTGATGATGCTGTGCTTGTAATTAATAGTCTGCAAATACAGAAAATTGCATTAATGAAATGTTATACACATAAAATAAATAAATTTCAATAATTTGTTTACCATTTCACAAACCGAATTACCAAGAAATAGAAACTCACCGCGATGTGATACAGAAATAAAGACCAACAGGGCTGCATTTTCTTGGTAAACAACACAAGCGCTCCGGGCAATCTGATCCGCAAAATTATTTTGTGAAAAATAATAGTTGAAAAGAGTTTTTACACACGATTATCACATTAACTCATAAGTAGGGTTGCCAGGTTCTGAAACGGAGAAAGGAGTACATTTCTATTTTCGATAGAAAAAAATCAGTACAGAACTTAAAAAAGGAGTAAAATTTTTGTTTTAATTTTTTTGTGCAATTTATTGTTACAAATTACCATTATTTAGATACAAAAAAAACACGGGTATCATGGAAATCTTTTTCAAAGCAACAATAAATGTTGAAAATAAATAACTCAGTTCTACAAAAGAATTCCAGACTATTCCTGAATGTATGGCAATTTTTTTATTTTATAATTTAAAATTTTTCTGATTTTTATACCCGAGCGCCCTGCATGCACCTACCTGCCTACGACCATGCTTACACCTTTTCACTATCACACTCAACTTTACTTACTAAATAGTGTTTGCCACAATATGAATGGCCAGTACAGGGCGTAAAATAATAACTGTACAGAAGATATCGTCACTACACACGAATAAAGGCGCGCTAGTGCTGTGAAGGCGAAAAAAGGCGCGTAAAAAAATTTTGCGAAAAAAGATGCTTATGAAAAACTTCGGCGAAGTATGATAAGAGTCGATGGCGCTGAAGTTTTTTATGCGTCTTTTTTCGCCGTCATTTTTTGAGCTCACGCCTTTATTCGTGTCTAGTGACGATATGTAAGAAAATAACCGACGAAGACTTGCGTGTCGCTTGAGCTTATCTCTCAAAGTGTTTACCGCTGGTAAACGTAAATGAAGGTTAAAATTTAAAAACTTATACTATGTCTCCATTGTGAGATTTAATGAAGATTTAGCCCTCTGACTAGACTTGACGTTAAATCTTTTGAGATTTACCATATAAAATTAAATCTCGAAAGGCAGTAGATTTAAGTTAAATCTTCGTCAAATCTTCAATAATATTGATCAATAAGTACAATTTGTTGGATGTGGCAACCACAAATTCACATGCCATAAGTCAAATGACATTTGTGTTTTCAATATACAGTTGAGGACATTGAAATCTGGCCAATCATAAAAACATGAATTTTCGTATTTTTAGGGAATTTTTTATTTTTGTTAGTTTGGGAGGAAAATTAGTAATACATATTCAGCCTTATCATGAGTTTCATTTTCCCTGAACCGGTTCACTTTTCACTTTTGGTTTCCATGGTTTTACTATGGGCGAATAACAAATTTTTTTTTTTTAATAAATTAAGAAAATATTATTTTAAAAACTAAAAGTTTAGAAGAAATGTTTTATAGTAATATCATGCAGAGTCTTCTCCGCTTTCTATAAGTCATTTACGCGCTGCGCCAAAAAATTTATAAATTTCGGTAATGGTTTTGCTTCGATAACATTGCACCGAACATCCGCTTGAACTCAGTTCGTATTCATGATATGCCAAAGGCCCACGATTGGAATTCGGTTCCCTCCTATGGATAAGAGAGTTCTACAAAAATTTTTCTTTCCGCAAATGTTTTTTACCGTTTTGATAACTTTTCTTAAATTCGGGAAAATGATTCGGAATATGGTACCATTCTTTACACTTTCCAAACTATATATTATACATACATATTTACCACGAATAAGAAGCCAATAATATTCAGAATTCATATAATGAAATTTATAAAATCATACATAAGCAAACGTCAATATTTAAAAATGTGAACGTCAAACGTATCTCGCTGTGGTAATGGAGACGGTTGTGATTTAGCAACTGGATTTATTAAATCTTAATGGATAAATCTGTCAATGGAGACATAGTATTATATTCAACAAATTTATATTGAGCTCGAGGCCGTTTATATGAAAATTTTTATTGTGGAAAAGCAACAATAATTTAAAAAAATGGTAAAAGTGATAGCTATTTCGGAAATCACCACATTTCCTCATCAGACTTCTTTCAGAAGGATTCGAACCGACGATCCCACTGACTCAGCCAGTTGCCTATGCACCGTGCTAAGTACGCCTTGTAAATTATCGTTTGCTTTTTTTCCACTATTTTCATTTTTGTTATGCCAACACAATCAAGCGCAGCTATTCCGCTGCAATTCACTTGATCATGTGGTTGTAGGTCTGATGAGGAAATGTGGTGATTTCCGAAATAGCTATCACTTCTACCATTTATGCAAATTATTGTTGCTTTTCCACAATACAAATTTTCATTTAAAACGGACTCGAGCTCAATATAAATTGTTGAATATAATTGTTATAAAGGCCAAAAAATAACAAAAACAAATAACTTAAGGACGAGCACACCTAAAAGTTAAACATTCTAAAAATAGAATTATTAGCAAAAAACCAACAATACCAACCACCACATGATCAAGTGAATTGCAGCGGAATAGCTGCGCTTGATTGTGTTGGCATAACAAAAATGAAAATAGTGGAAAAAAGCAAACGATAATTTACAAGGCGTACTTAGCACGGTGCATAGGCAACTGGCTGAGTCAGTGGGATCGTCGGTTCGAATCCTACTGAAAGAAGTCTGATGAGGAAATGTGGTGATTTCCGAAATAGCTATCACTTCTACCATTTTTTCAAATTATTGTTGCTTTTCCACAGTAAAGTGTTCATTTAAAACGGCCTCGAGCTCAATATAAATTGTTGAATATAATTTTTAGCCAAAAAAATAACAAAAACAAATTATTTAAAAACTTATTAATAAAATGTAAGTAAAATCTGTGGATAATTAACAATAAACTACTTTTTTCGTAAAACCTATAAAGTTCCCTTTTATTTTTCAATAAAACATGTGCAACAGTTATTATTTTACGCCCTGTATATGATAAAATATTAATAGCTGGAAATAGGAGTACAAAAGAAGTACAAAACTAAGAAAGGAGTACATTTCCAGATATTTTTTTTTGGGAGTACAAGGGAGTACATTACAATAAAAAGGAGTACGTTTACTCCCAAAAGCAGTACGTCTGGCAACCCTACTCATAAGTGCAAATTATTGTGATTATTTTTAGTTGAATACAATTGTATTACCTTAGACTTTTTTTTAATGTTTTCTAATATTCATTTTTTTTGGACGAAAAAGCAACCATGCGTCCAATTTCTTGTGGAGAAATTTGGTCCCCATAAAGGACTTTCACCATGAAACAGCTACAAAAACAAAAACCTTTTCTACTGGTATACTGTGCCCACAGCACACTAGTCGAATAGGACTAATTCTTGTTAAAAATGCTGTGTTCTGCAAAAAGGTTTGGTGGATATTATTATTATGAATCCGCTAATGCGAAAGATAAAGTCAAATATCATTTCTCGCAGCTCTTTAGATTATCGTTAATCTCAAAGTTATCTATTTTCAATAAAGTTTTAATTGTTCTCTTGATAATTGCACCGGCCTATAGTCAAAAGATGTCAAGAACAGCACAAGTATTGCTGGCGTGCATTTAGGTCGCTGGTTCCAAATATTCTATTCTTATTAATTAATATTGATTAATATTAGCTATAGTTTGCGAATTTTTGCAAATTTAGGAACAATTTCGGTAGCTCTAATAGAAAAGCCATTATTTTCCATCATCGTGGAAAAATTTTATTTATGAAAATGAGTATGGAAACACTGAAGAGCCACAA